GATGGGAGCGGGGTCGCCAGTACATGAGGCACATGCCAGAACTATTGGACATATTCTTAGTGGTAGGGGAAACCAGAGTACCCGGAGGAAACCTACGCAGACACGGGGAGAACATGCAAACTCCACTCAGAAAGGCCCTGGTCCGACCGGGATTCGAAACCAGGACCTTCTTGCTGAGAGGCGAGAGTGCTATCCACTCAGCCACCGTGCCGCCCAAGGTATTTAGGGCTGTATAGGAAGCTCTTTTTGAAAACAGTCCGAAGCAAAAATGCACGGTTTTGGTTTTGTTTTGAAAAAGTTTGCAGGTCGTCCCCACCCCAACTTCTGGCCGGTTTGTCATGTCCCGTTTTGAACAGACTTTTGAAAACTTTAGGAGGTGAAACCATTGAGTGCTGTGAAGTTAGCGAGAGTTAGCATTGCCGTTAGCATCAGTCCTGGATCTACAGCCTCAGTCCTGGATCTACAGCCTCAGTCTGGATCTACAGCCTCAGTCCTGGATCTACAGCCTCAGTCCTGGATCTACAGCCTCAGTCCTGGATCTACAGCCTCAGTCCTGGATCTACAGCCTCAGTCCTGGATCTACAGCCTCAGTCCTGGGTCTAAAGCCTCAGTCCTGGATCTACAGCCTCTTTCCTGGGTCTAAAGCCTCAGTCCTGGATCTACAGCCTCTTTCCTGCATGGGTCTAAAGCCTCAGTCCTGGATACACAGCCTCAGTCTGGATCTACAGCCTCAGTCCTGGATCTACAGCCTCAGTCCTGGATCTACAGCCTCAGTCCTGGATTACAGCCTCAGTCCTGGATCTACAGCCTCAGTCCTGGGTCTAAAGCCTCAGTCCTGGATCTACAGCCTCAGTCCTGGATCTACAGCCTCAGTCCTGGGTCTAAAGCCTCAGTCCTGGATCTACAGCCTCAATCCTGGGTCTAAAGCCTCAGTCCTGGATCTACAGCCTCTTTCCTGGGTCTAAAGCCTCAGTCCTGGATACACAGCCTCAGTCCTGGGTCTTAAAGCCTCAGTCCTGGATCTACAGCCTCAGTCCTGGGTCTAAAGCCTCAGTCCTGGATCTACAGCCTCAGTCCTGGATCTACAGCCTCAGTCCTGGATCTACAGCCTCTTTCCTGGATCTACAGCCTCAGTCCTGGATCTAAAGCCTCAGTCCTGGATCTACAGCCTCAGCCAAGTAATTACGTGGTTGTTTTGTACCATAGTGTAAAGAAATAGAGCTGCACTTTGCCAAATGTTTTCAAGACCTCGTCCGTAGCACACGGAGCCAACGTTTAGGCGTCAGGTTGGTGGTTCGACTCCAGGGAGGGGCCGGGTTTACCGCTTGTTCTGTGGATTCCTTTTTGAGCCTCCTCTTTATGTTATACGTGTTTGTCATAATTCATCTTGAGCGACGAGGCCCATACGAAGCGCTAATCCGGAGAAGAAGAGATTTCTGGAGAGCGTATGTGCGCGCAGGTGTCAGGATTATTTCTCAGATGTTTAAGGAGAATGTCGGTGCGGCAACGTTTATGAATCATTTACGGCATTAAAGCGACAAAATGCTTTTAACTGAAGACAAGCTCTACTGTTTGTGCTGTGGCAAAATATGTAAATCCATCTAGTGTTGAGTTAAAGCCGGTGTTGGTCTCTGGTCTCTCACTGGTCTCTCTTTGGTCTCTCACTGGTCTCTCTCTGGTCTCTCACTGGTCTCTCTCTGGTGTCTCTCTGGTGTCTTCCTGGTCCCTCTCCAGTATCTCTCTTTCTGGTTTCTCCCTGCTCTGTCTATGGTCTTTCTCCCTCTCTAGCCCCTTTCTCTGACCTCTCTTTGGTCTCTCTCTCTGGTCTTTTCCTCTGGTCTCTCTCTGGTCTCTCACTGGTCTCTCTCTGGTGTCTCTCTGGTGTCTTCCTGGTCCCTCTCCAGTATCTCTCTTTCTGGTTTCTCCCTGCTCTGTCTATGGTCTTTCTCCCTCTCTAGTCCCTTTCTGTGACCTCTCTCTGGCCTCTCTCTCTGGTCTCTTTCTGGTCTCTCTCTGGTCTTTCTCTGGACTCGCTCTGGCCTTTCCCTACAGTCTCTTCCTCTGGTGTCTCTCTGGTCTCTCTCTCTCTGGCCTCTCTCTCTAGTCTCTCTCTGGTCTCTTTCAAGTCTCTCTGTCTGGTCTTTCTCAATTCTCTCTCTCAAGTCTCTCTCTAGTCTCTCTCTCTGGTCTCTCTCTCTCCTCTCTCTGCTGTCTCTTCTCTAAAGTGGTTTTGTCCAAGGTTTTAAGCAGATAAATACCGTGTTATGGTTTATGCATTTCCAGCCGTCAAAGTATATTTATGACTTCTCTCCTTCTCGTTGACAGGAGGTGAGAGAGAGAGACTCAAAGTTTGCGTTCTGAACCAAAGTTTGAATCCTAATGATGGTTTCTCCACAGGCCGAGGGTGAACGGGTCATGGTCCCGGCTCCTCATCAGCCAAACACAAACCCGGCGATTTAGCGCTTTGGCCGTGAAAGGAAAAAAAAACAAATACGACCGAGCAACTTTGACTTTGGTGCAGTTTGGAATCGGGCCAGGCTCATCAGACACGGACCAAAGTGGTGGGAATAAGATCATGAGGAAAAGAATACAGCCGTTTTTGACATCAAGTCCGAGGCAAAAGTCAGTGGAGTTTGTCAAAGTCAGTTAAACTTATTCAAATATCAGGTTTTTTTGTGGTTTGAGGAATCTTTCTTTCTCCTAATTGAGGTTTCTCACTTATGTACAGTCAGAAGAAAAGTTGTGTGGCTTTTGTGCACCGCCGTGATTTGTTCAGACGACTCTCTCTCTCTCTCTGGTTTCTCTTTGTTGCCTCTCACTCTCTGGTCTTGGTCTCTGGTCTCTCTGTTTCTGGTCTATTTCTGATCAATCTCTAGACTATCTTTCTTAGGTCTCTCTTGTCTCTCTTTTTCAATCTCTGGTCTCTCTCTCTTGTCTCCCTCTGGCCTCTCTCTGGTCTCTCTTTGGTCTCTCTGGTCCCTCTCTGGTCTCTCTCTGGTCTTTTTCTGGTCTTTCTTTCTCCGATCTCTCTCTGGTCTCTCTCCGGCCTCTCTCGGGTCTCTCTCCGGCCTCTCTCTGGTCTCTCTCTGGTCTCTCTCTGGGCTCTCTCTGGTCTCTTTCTGGTCTCACTCTATAGTCTCAGCAGCTGTGTGTGTTATAATGCACTAAGTCTGTCTTGGGCCTGGTTGAATCCAGGCCGAGCTGGTGCCAAAGTGAGTACTACTGGAACCCCCGATTCTGGTTTGTTTTGCGTCGGTTGCCATGACACTGTACCAGATAAAGTAAAAGTGTAATGGAAACGCAAGGAGTAGAGCAGTTTGACATCCAGACAAAAACCCAAAAATCTCCATTCTCTCTACAAACGCAAACAGAGAGTGTCGGCCATATTCTCTCTCGCTCTCTCTCTCTCTTTCTCTCTCTCTCTCGCTCTCTCTCTCTCGCTCTGCTCCATCTGCCGGCCCTGGGATCGCCCCCTGCTGTTCGGAGAGCACACGTCCCTCTGGCGCTGACTCACGGCGACGCGCTAAAACTACTCCACACTCTCTCCGCCGTCCAACTGTCACCGTCCTCGACGACCAGGACTCTGAACGCTCTGTGGAGACACGGCTGAGCCAAGGACGCCATCGACACGTTTTAGTTTAATGCCGATATCAGTTGAGAAGACTCTCTCTCTGGTCTCTCTCTGGTCTCTCTCTGGTCTATCTCTGGTCTCTCTTTCTCTGATCTCTCTCCGGTCTCTCTCTGGTCTCTCTCTAGTCTCTCTCTGGTCTCTCTCTGGTCTCTCTCTAGTGTCTCTCTTATCTCTCTCTGGCCTCTCTCTGGCCTCTCTCAGGTCAGCAAGAAGGTCCTGGGTTCGAATCCCAGCCGGAACAGGTTTCCTCTAAAAAAATGTGCAATTGTTCACGGTGAATGAGTGTGTGTTTGTGAGTGCGAATGTGGGACAACGGATGCAAATGAGCCCAACGCTACAATCCGGATCGATGTGTTCATTAACATACTGTCCCAACCAAATAAACAATAAATAAGATCATAAAGTAACTCTCTCTGGTCTCTCTCTGGTCTCTCTCTCTGGTCTCTCTCTCTCTGGGCTCTCTCTGGTGTCTCTCTGGTCTCTCTCTGGTCTCTTTTTCTCCAGTTTCTCTCTGATCTCTCTCTGGTCTCTCTCTGGTCTCTCTGGTCTCTCTCTGGTCTCTCTGGTCTCTCTCTGGTCTCTCCTGGGTCTCTCTCTGGTCTCTCTCTGGTCTCTCTCTGGTCTCTCTCTGGTCTCTCCTGGGTCTCTCTCTGGTCTCTCCCTGGTCTCTCTCTGGTCTCTCTCTGGTCTCTCCTCTCTCTTGTCTCTCACTGGTGTCTCTCTGGTGTCTCTCTGGTCTCTCTCTGGTCTCTCTCTGGTCTCTCCCTGGTCTCTCTCTGGTCTCTCCCTGGTCTCTCCCTGGTCTCTCTGCTCAGACATATAACTTTATATTTATTTCTATCATACTATATTATTTGTGTCATGTTTTGTCCACAGTCCATGGTACACACACACGGTACACACACATGGTACACACACATGGTACACACACACATGGTGCAATATCACACATTCCAGAAGACACAAGACAAAAACGGGGGAATATTCTTATTGACTATAATTACTGGCTCTTGTGTCTGATGTGGATTTTCCAGTTTTTTTTCCCCGCTGCAAAAACCCACAAACCACGACACAATTGTTCAAAGACATTAATATTCATGAGTAATTAATATATACTTTATGAATATTTGATTTTCCAAAACGGCCTGACCCCGAAACCCGCTCTCTCTCTCCTTCCTCCTTCGCCCCTGCTTTAAAGCGCCTCCTAAAAGTGAGTTTTACGGCTCTAATATAGTAATCTGCAGACATCAGATATCCATACAGACTGAAGGGGGCGCTGTGTTCACTTTCAGAAAAAAAAAGGGAAAAAAAATCATTCCAATTACAAAGGTTCTCCCGGGCCTCGCTGGAGTCGGACTTAGGCTGTTTGATGTGCTGCTCCTCCGGGACGCGCTCACCTCTCCCTCCCCCTGTCTGTGTCCTCACCTCCTCTCCTCACCCCCTCGACTCCTCTCCTCATCTCCTTTCCCCCTCACCTCCTCTCCTCACCCCCTCGTCTCCTCTCCTCGTCTCCTTACCCCCTCACCTCCTCTCCTCACCCCCTCGTCTCCTCTCCTCGTCTCCTTACCCCCTCGTCTCCTCTCCTCACCCCCTCCTCTCCTCTCCTCGTCTCCTTACCCCCTCGTCTCCTCTCCTCACCCCCTCGTCTCCTCTCCTCGTCTCCTTACTCCCTCGTCTCCTCTCCTCAACCCCTCGTCTCCTCTCCTCACCCCCTCGTGTCCTCTCCTCATCTCCTCACCCCCTCGTCTCCTCTCCTTACCCCGTCGTCACCTCTCTTCACCCCTCTACTCCTCTCCTTGTCTCCTCTCCTTACCCCCTCGTCTTCTCTCCTCACCCCCTTGACTCCTCTCCTCACCCCCTTGACCCCTCTCCTCACCCCCTCGTCTCCTGCACCCCCTCGTCTGCTCTCCTCACCCCCTCTACTCCTCTCCACGTCTCCTGCACCCCCTGGTCTCCTCTCCTTACCCCCTGGTCTCCTCTCCTGCACCCCCTCGACTCCTCTCCTTACCCCCTCTACTCCTCTCCTCACCCCTTCGTCTCCTCTCCTGCACCCCCTCGTCTCCTCTCCTTACCCCCTCGTCTCCTCTCCTAACCCCCTCGTCTCCTCTCCTTACCCCCTCGCCTGCTCTCCTCACCCCCTCATCTCCTCTCCTCACCTCCTCATTTATCTTTAAATAATCTTTTATTCTTCTATAAACATACTTCTTTCGATAAACATATATTCAAATTAGTTACTTTTTTATGAGTCAAAAAGTCAAATCCTTCTCTCCCCCTCCTTCCCTTTCCTCTCCCCTCCCCTCTCTCTCCTCACCCCTCTCTCCTCTCCCCCTGATCCCCCTCTCTCTTCTTCCTGTTATTTCCACATTGGTCTAAGCTTTACTCTCTCTCTCTCTCCCTCTCCACTTTCTTCCTTTCCTCTCATCTCTCTTCCCCTCTCCCCCACCCTGTCCTGTCCTCATTTCCTCTTATCGGTCTCAGCTTTTCTCTCTCCCCTAATTCCTCCGTCTCCATGATGAGGAGCCTCCCCTGCCGCCGTCATTATCCACCTTTGCCCGCGGAGGATTGGACCGCTTTGTCTTAGAGCGACGCTGCTCCCTCCCCACGTCTCCCCCCCCTCTCCCCCAAATCTCCCCCACGTCCCAGGCCTCTTGCATCCACTTATAAATGTCATATACTTTCTGTTTCCACGACACCTCACTTTCAAAAGTGACAAAAAAAAAGACAAAATCAACTAAAATTTCATTCAGTTCAATGTATTTCTGCCGAGGCCAAAAGCACAACAGCAGTTATCTCAGAGCGCTTTAGGAAGTTGCCGATTTGTCAACACAGATCAGAGAATCAGACGCAAGAAATGCAAAAAACACATTGGTCCATGAGGGGCAGATGACAAATGTGGGTAAATGTTAATGGTTGTCTTTAAACGTCCTGGATCATTACCACTACTGGAAAGCTGTGTGTGTATGTGTGTGTGTGTGTGTGTGTGTGTGTATGTGTGTGTCATTGTACATGTGTGTGCGTTCCCAGGCTGCTGTTTAGTGCTGTAAGAATAAAAGCACTTTGGACAGCCAACACCTGCAAACCTGGGGACAGCTTTGTGCCCGTTAAACCAGTATGTGTGTGTGTGAGTGTCTCTCTCTCTCTCTTCTTGTGTGTGTGTGTGTGTGTGTGTGTGTGTGTCTCTCTCTTATTGTGTGTGTGTGTGTCTCTCTCGTTCTGTCTCTCTCTCTGTCTCTCTCATTGTGTGTGTGTCTGTGTCTCTCCCTCTCTCTATCATTGTGTATGTGTCTCTTTCTGTGTGTGTGTGTGTGTGTCTAAATGTGTATGTGTGTCTCTCTAACTCTGCGTGTGTGTCTCTGCGTGTGTGTGTGTGTGTGTGTGTGTCTCTATCTCTTAATCTCTGTGTGTATTTCTCTCTCTCTCTCTGTCTCTCTCATTCTGTGTGTGTGTCTCTCTTTTTGTGTGTGTCTCTCTCTATTTATGTGTCTCTCTCTCTCTCTTTCTCTGTCCCTTTCATTGTGTGTATGTCTCTGCGTGTGTGTGTGTGTGTGTGTGTGTCTCTCTCTTAATCTCTGTGTGTACTGTATTTCTCTCTCTCTCTCTCTCTGTCTCTCTCATTCTGTGTGTGTGTCTCTCTTTTTGTGTGTGTCTCTATTTATGTGTCTCGCTCTCTTTTTCTCTGTCCCTTTCATTGTGTGTATGTCTCTCTCTCTCTCTCTCTCTCATTGTGTGTGTGTCTCTCTGTGTGTGTGTGTGTGTGTGTGTGTGTGTGTGTGTGTGTGTGTGTATGTGTGTCTCTACGTGTGTGTCTCTGTGTGTGTATGTGTGTGTGCGTTTACCTCTCTTACCTTCCCTCTCCTGTCTCTCACCATTAGCCCCACATTCATGCAGAACAAATTACAGCTAATGTACTTTCTTTGCCCCAACACTCGCTTTCACCGGTCGCTTCAAAATTTCAATTTAGTGCTTAACGTTAAGTTTCCTCCGATGGAATATTCCGGCAATTACAGCCTCCGGGAACGTTACATTTAATGCATTAGCACAATATGGAGAGAGAAGGAGGCCGTTTGAAACAAGTGCTGAGGGTAAACGACCCGGGACAGGTCTGGTCTGTGGCGTGGGTCAGGAGTGTGATATCACCAGGGTGTTAGCCGGTGTGGACGTGCGCTAGCTGCAGGTCATTTCTGTATATGGGGTTGTTCAGAGAGAGAGAGAGAGAGAGAGAGACTAGAGGGAGGGTCAAGAGAGAGAGCAGAGAGAGAGACAAGTAAGAGAGATAAGAGAGGGAGACCAGAGAGAGAGAGAGACCGAGACCAGAGAGTGAGATAAGAGGGAGAGATAAAAGAGAGACCAGTGAGAGAGAGAGACCAGATATTGAGATCAGAGAGATAAAAGAGAGATTAGTGAGAGAGAGGGACGGAGAGACCAGAGTCAGGAACAAGAGAGAGATCAGAGAGGCAATTAGGAGAGAGAAAGACCAGAGAAAGACAAAAGTAAGAGAGACCAAAGGAGGACCAGAGAGAGACCAGGGTAATACAAGAGAGACCAGGTGGATTCCAGAGAGAGACCAAAGAGAGAGACCAGAAAATGGGAGACCAGGGAGAGACACTAGCAAGAGAGACAGAAGAGAGACCAGACAAAGACAAGAAACAGAGAGACTAGGGCGTGAGACCAGAGTGAGAGACCAGAGAGAGAGAGACCAGAGAGACCAGAGAGAGTCAGTCCACATGCTCTCACCTCCAGCACAGGTACACAGAGGAGCTGAGACCCAGGGGACCGTCTCCTGAAGAGGACTCAGAGCAGATGGCTGGAGCAGACCCAACGACGCTCACGGGACGGGCGCCATGCCACCCAACTTCCTGCCCGCCTCCCTCCCTCACCCCCTCCCTCCCTCACCCCTTCTCTGCCTGCGTCTCTCGTGGCAGCAGTTGGTGTCACTCCTCGTCCGTCTGTGAAAGTCTGCGGCCCGGGAACAGATTGGACAGTCGGAGAATCGTTCGCCCAAAAGTCGCCTCTAATCTCCCGCAGGCTGCCGCGGCGCGCACGCACACACACGCACAAAGGCGCACAATCACTTCCGGCGCAACAAGACACCTCTCCTGGCGCCGTGGGGGGTTCGGGCCGGGATCTCAAAGATTGCCTCCCAAACCGGACTCCAAAGATACCTTCCCGTGCATCATCGGAGTCTTAGATATTTGGACAAATCTAGATATATATTTTACTGCTGGGACTCTGAGGAGCACAGGGACCGGCCTCCTGCTGGGACTCCGAGGAGCACAGGGACCGGCCTCCTGCTGGGACTCCGATGAGCACAGGGACCGGCCTCCTGCTGGTCCCAGAGTCATCTAAAGCATTCTATCTTCACTCGTTTTAATCCATTGTGATTAATATTGATTTTGATTTAATTTCTTGATGCACTATGGTCGCCTTGTGTAAGAAGTATGCGCTATACAATTAAACGTGCCTTGTCAGACTCCAGGCCATGTCGTTGCTAATGGAAATTCTTGGTCGTTGGGATAAAAAGGTGGAATGATTTGTTGGGTCAGAATCTCATCACATTTCCATCAGTGAAGTGCTCTCTCGTGTTGATTAACTGAACTCAGCTCTTTCCGGCTCAAGGACTCGGCTCGAAAAGGTGTGTTCCTCCTCGAGATGCTTTGGCTAAATTAGAAACAGACGATAAATTAAAGCCGCAAGCGGCGTCGAACGGCCCTCGCCGCACCGCGCGACTCCATGCACCGCGCGCACTCCCCGCACCACGCCGCCCCGCACCACGCCGCCCCGCACCAAGCCGCAAAGCGCCGCTCCACAACGCCCCGCACTACGCCGCACCACACCGTACCACGCAGCACCGCTAAAAGGAGGTGGTCCCGCCGTGTGATGATTTGTGTCCGTAGCCATAGAAGAATGTTAGTCAAATTGTAATGAATATGATAAGTAGAGCTGGTTTGGCTCCCCATGTAAACTTTGATACAGTCTGTAGGGGGCGCTAATGGGCCAATTTCCAATATTTCACTTTAACCTGACCTAAACCCTAGAATTGAACAATGGATTCAAGTTTTGTGCAAATCAGACTTTGTTTGTGCAAACAGGAGCAAAATTAATGTTGTCAAAAAGAGCCAAAAAAAGCCTCACATTTTGCCGCTCCGCTGCTCAAACAACGTTTCACGGATCAAAATTCCCTGAAGTCATTTTGAAGGTACATGTGTTGAGATGATGTGGAGCGATTTTGAGGCGAATCGGTGAAACGGCCGAGGCTGGTTTGATGTTTGTGTGAGGTGTACATTTGCAATGAATGGGGAGCGTTTGTCGTCGCCACGGCAACAGGGTAAAAAATAAGCCTTGGACCCTATTGACTTTATGAATCAAGAGGGCAAAACAGATTTTTGTGCAAAATTTCAAACATTTTGAAGAAACTAAATTTGAAAATGCCCATCTAAAATTTTGAAATAGTCTGTAGGGGGCGATATTGTGTCAATTTGAATCATTTGACTTTCAAATGACCTAGACCCTAGAGTTGAACAATGTATTGTTTGTGCAAACGGGAGCAAATTTTATGTTGTCAAAAACGGCCAAAAAAGGTCACATTTTGCCGCTCCGCTGCTCAAACAATGTTTCACTAATCAAAAATCCCTGAGGTCATTTTGAAGGTAAATGTGTTGAGATGATGTGGAGCGATTTTGAGGCGAATCGGTGAAACGGCCGAGGAGGAGTCGCTTTCCAACAAACATGTATGAAAACTTTTGCTGTTCATTTTGCCATTTTGCAGTGAAATTTCTGGGCTTCCTGTTTGTCAGGGGGTGGAGCCATAATAATATTTTTTTTCTTGTCTTGACTATAGGAACATGTGTACCGAATTTCATGGCTCTACGACAAACTTGATCTCTAAAAGTCCCATAGGGGTATTATTTTGGCTGTTGTAGGTGGCGCTGTTCCGGCATTTTTTGAGTCCCATTAAAATAAACACCAAAATATCAAATTTTTCGCCAGGTCTGATTTTTGGGCAAAATTTAACAACTTTTCATGCATGTTCAGGGGGTCAAATTAAGGCTCAAAGTGCAGAATTTGACATCTCTCGAGCAAAAACAATAGGCC